ATAATTACGATCACCGACATAAAACTCCGCAGAAATATCAGATAAGCGATAAAGTTATGATAAAAAATTTCGATTGTAGTCCGGGCGTTTCATCGAAATTAATACCGAAATTCAAGGGACCATATGAGATAGATCGCGTGCTCAGGAACGACCGTTACGTACTAAAAGACGTCGAGGGATTTCAACTCTCGCAAACCCCGTACTGTGGTACGTGGGAAGCAGCAAACATGAGGCGATGGAACCCTACTTAAGATCCGTGATTAATCGGGGCGATTAATAGTCAGGCTGGCCGAACTGTAGCCATCTTGAGCGCACGTCGCCGGCAGCGTGCCGCGCTGGCTCAAGCAAGCGTTGCGTGTCTTCTTTTATTCAAGTTTTGTTAAACATACGCGATCTTTGCGACGTTGGCGACGGGCACCGGCGAGGCACCCGCGATCGGTTTTTATTAATAAAAGAGCGAGCGAGCGAGCCTAGGCGAGGAGGGCAGTTCCTCGCCGGACACCAAATAATAAAGACGTTATCCTGACAAACCGATTACAATATTTACATTTTCATTAGCAGATATAATGTTAAATGCAAACTCACGCTTTTCTGAAATAGATAGATCTAGATAGAAATTAATAAAATAAGAAGAAAATATTGATGTCAGAAATGTTTCTATATACATATATGTATATTGTTAAAAATTTAGAGGTGATATAGTTAATTGTAGATATACCTTCAATCTCTGTTTCAGTCATATTTGATGTAAATAGCACTGGTGCATTTTCCATTAAATGTGGTGCTATATTGAGGATATCAGGATCAACACTTGCTTCAGCTTCCTGTGGTCCACCACCAGTAGCTAAACGTGATTGTTTCTCTTTGGTTAAGGCATCTCTTTGGGACTGCTTTAAATTTGCCCACAATTTTTTTACTGTTGTACAGTTCTCTATAATAAAAATTTTGTGTAAAATATTATGTATTAAAGTGTGTATTAAAACATTATATTCTAAATATATAGTTCTTACCTCTTGACAAATCAATGTTGATTGATTATATTCTTGACATATTTCACTCCATGCGATATCTTTGTCTTTCAAAGTTGTAGCGTCACTTTTTTTTAGTTCTATTATATTTTTGTATTTTTCAAGTATTTGTAAAAATACTTTCTTTTCTATCAATGTATAATGTTTGTTTTTACTTGAAACAAGCTTCTCTTTGCACGACATTCTGTAAATAATATAATATTTAGTAATAAAGTGTATTGAATAAAATTGAAATAAATCTTAGGAATAATACTGAAAGAGAGGGGTCTCCCCACCGATTTAGCTAGCACTTTACACATTTCTAGATTTTGGTGTGTAAAATACGACCATCAAAGAACAAATCGTCGCTCTGTACTAGGGAAAAAGTTATAACGTGTTAAAATGTAGCAGTTAGGGGTTAGCAAATCTGAGAATATTGTGTATTTATCAGTTTGTACGTGTAGTTAACGCAGAGAATACTTTATATATATACTAAATTGTATATATACCTTTTATATACTATTTATAATATATCTACTATAATATTTTCTTCTTTAATAAAAAGCATAACTTGTTATAGGTAACACTGAAGGAAGACCCTTGCTTATTCATCGGTTATTTATATTATAAAGAAGATAACAGCTTATGCTTTTTATTAAAGCAAAGAATAGTTGCTATATTGAAAAATATGCAATACGCACAACTTTATGTTATGTAAAGCATAAATTCAGAGTATTTCCTGCTTCAACTAAAAGTACAAACTAATAAAATATTCTCAGACTTTCTAACCCCACAACTGTCACATTTTAACACATTTTAACTTTTTTCTTAGTTACAGAGCGACGATTTGTACTTTCACAGTTGTATACCAAAACCTACGTAAAGTTTTAGTTAAATTGGTAAGGAAGCTCCTTTTCTTCAATATTATCATCTTAGGTTAGGTTAGATTCGTGTCGAAATGTAAAAATTGTTGCGAATTTGGTTTGAGTCGGGAACTGTGGTTCGCCGATCGCAGGCAACTGTTCGCGTCAAGCGACTGTGATTTGGCGCCGGACCGAGCTCCGACTGGTGCTCCGAAAGCGAGAGATGATGGAGGCAGGACTCTTACACAACGGTTTAGCTGACACAGAATGTACTTTATTTACACAACTTCAACTGAACACGATTAATTTGTTTGAAGAAGGCTCGGTGAACCGAGGCGCGTCTGCTCTATCCGACGACTGTAGTTTTGTCGAGTTCGATCGTCCGCTGGCTTCGGAACGATCGCCGGAGTCGCTGGGAACGCGACTTTGCCGGTGAATTGACTTTTCGCGGCGATGTCCTCACTCCGAGGAGACGATTCGCGCGGAGAGTCGTTTTCGAGCTGTACGACTAGCGTGCCCTACGTGGTCTACGGACTGAGGAGGGGCGATCGCTCTCGTTTCGCGTTGACTCTAGTTTATCCGTGTTCTCGCGTTAGCTCTTGAGCGACGACTGGACTGACTTTCGTCAGGTCACACCGGCCGAATCCGAATTTGTTTTTCTAGTCCGGATCCCAATGTCGAGGACTGATTACAATTCGGTGTTTTCGCAGATCACGAATCCGTCGACACCGGGATCCGTTGCGGCGAGGTATCACGCGGACCGCGTTTATTTTGGTGACCGCCGAAAGTCACCGGCGATCGAGCTCGTCGATTTGCTCGGGATTGATGTTCGTTACCGCGAATCCCGAACAAAAATTAATTGTGATAACTCGCCATTTAATTTTTATACTAACTAATATCTGTACACTAATTTATACCTGGTATATTTATTCTCGATGAAGAACAATATAACGCCAAAATTTTTCGATGAATTATGCTATGTGCATAAACATACACAAGATAGTACACGGTAGAGTACAACTGTATCTTCAATTCAACGTTTCTATTGGAGGACACAAGAGAAATATTACGGAAACAGCCGATTCGTAAATAAGCACGATTTTAAGCATATCTTCGCGAAGACTTTCTCAATTCGAATAAGAACTACTTCGATGAAAACGTCTTCGCAAAGACCATCTTATTTTGTGACTATGTAATGTACTGTTCTTGAGATGATCTGAATCAAATAAGATGATCTTGACCAAGACAATCTTAAGTACGGCTTTGAGATTGGACTATGAATATGGCCCTATAACCTATAACACTCAGCCAAGAGACACGGTTGATGATACCGATAGTAATACGCGTTATAGCCGTATCACACTAGCGGTTCGCGTTGGCGTTGCCGTTGGCTGCTGCGTCTTGACCAATCAGAGAATACTTTGCTATTCTCTCTCTCTCTCTCTCTCTCTCTCTCTC